CTGTCACTAGGTTCTATGCAAGGAATATCAGCCAAGAGATACCCAACTCATGGCTAATTAGCCACTAATTACACAGCCAGTACCTGTTAATGAAGGTGGGGATGCACAGTGATGGGAGGAGTCTCTGGCATCAGGAAAATTTTACATTTGGAGGCAAATTAAATGTAAAAATAAGAGAGATAGGGTAAGAAAGCTGGTAATTCCCCAGAGAGACTGGCAGGGAGTAGCAGGCATCCCTCATTACTGAAATCCTGTCTCTTATGGTCTCCTCCCAGCCTCTCTCCATAGCATGGAGACAAGGAAATGAGGCTGGGACTCCAGGAACCTGAACACTCTTGGGCTGAACAAGCTCCTCCAAACCCCACAAAGCTAACAAGAGACCAGGCACCGCTGTGGCTGCTGCAAGTCCCACCAGAGCAACAATCAGGAGCCATTACACCCCTTTCCTGCAGCCACCAAGGAATTTAGCTGATGAGCAACAAGTTGAATGAATTCAGTGCTAATAGTGTGCGGAGCCCTCAGTTTCATGGACTCAGAGAAGCACCTGGAAGAGGGCCTAAGGGTTAGGTCCCTTGGTGCAGGTCCTTGCAACAAACAACTAGCAATTAATTTCAGGTCTCTTAACTGTTTAATCGCAAAATAGCTCTGAATTTGCTGACATTAGCCAAGTTCCCAGGAGGCAGCAACAGTGACTGAACCTTATGTGGGGAGAGGAAGATTTTTATCCCAGAAAAAAGCCGAGGGAGGCACAAGATGGTTTCATCCCTTTCCTGACCCACATTTCTGATTGAGACGTAGAAAGACTTCTTCCAACACCTGCATGTCCCTCAGACCCCTATGCTGTCTGGACTGATCCTGGGTGGATCTCAGATGGTCAGGCTCATGGTACAGCCTGGGGACAGCTGGCAAATGTCCACTGAAGAGTAGAGGTGGCACCTACAGAAAGGTTAATTGGCAGTGAGGGTGGAAGGAGGACTGCCTGCATGTCACTGGGAGAAAGGCCAGACCCCAAGGAGGGAGTTTGGAAAATGCAAGGAAAAAACTTGTTTGACACGAGAGAAACAAGGAGATGTACCTAGAAGAGCTCTCATCCCTCAGCAGAGCTGGACAAGGGTTGCAAGCAGGGTGCTAATCCCTTATAAACAGGAGCAGCAGGCACCATTCCTCACTGTATGCTGCATCTAGCTCCAGGAAGGCAGTAGGGGACAGGCTGCTGATTGCCTTTGCTTCTTGCTCAAAGTTTCACAGTTTCTCACTTGCAGCCATTTCTCCAGCATCTGGGGGAGTAGGGGTTTGTTTCCTCTCTAAGCTTGCTGCAAATAATACAAACACAGTCTGCTTGCCTGCACCCAAGGTCCAGATCCTTGTTAGATGCAAATCCCTGCAATTATAAATCTGCACACAGCACCAGTTGCAGTAGCATTAGGTTAATCCAGCCTCCAGTGCTTTGCAGTCCTCTGCCCACAAGTCCCACAGGCATCAAGAGCCATGTCGCTAAGTAGCTGTTTTGTCTCACACAAAGAAAAAAAGCTGCTGCAGCTGAAGCAATCTCTAAGCCTATTTTACTTGCAGAAATTAGGGGATAATATAATAGATGACGCATTTCCCTGGAAATAAACCTGGCATTTTCTCAGCTGCTGCACAAGTGTCTGAGAGCTTGGGGTCCTCTGTATCATGCCCCCTGTGCCCTCCCCTCCCAAAGAAAGAGAGCTTAGCAGATCACAAAACCCCCCAAGAGTCAGATATTTTGGAGTAAAGCATCTACCCACATCTCTCTGTCCCTTTTCTGACAACAGACATATTTACCTCTGTTAATAAACAATAGAGAAGGAATGGTCAGCTATTCTGTGCCCTGCCCCAGAGATGGCATTTAGCTGCACCTCCTGGAGCTGCACAGGAACACCAAGGAGGCGCGCAGGAGAGCTGCCAGGGTTCAAAGCATGCGTGGGGCATCCGGTCTCATGCTTCAGCACTTACCAGAGAGCTGCAGCATTAGGTGCTATGTCCCCCAGGGCAAGGCTTCTACAGACAACTCTATAAGGGAGGCATTTTTACAGGCAAGAGAACATTTTAAACACAGGAGGAGCACACAGTGCTGAGACAGGAGGCCCAGAGTCACCCTGGCAGGTATAGCAATGAGGGCAAAAGGAAGCAGCAAAAAACACAGGAAAGAAAAACAAGCCAGCAAAGGAGACAGGGCAGGCAGCCCCTGGCACAGGACAGGAGGTTTTAAGCACATTCAGCCAGGAACAGTCCAGTCTGGAGAATCAATTATGGGGAGATAATTTGTCTGCTTGATTAAAACCTCCTTGGGCTATTGGCTTGTTGCTGGGGGGAGGAACAGAAGGTACCTGCTCTGGTCAGAGCACGATCCATGACTTATTACTGCAGTCCCTGCAGAGCTGTCAACAGGAGGCGAGGCTTGACAGGAAAAGACAGACAAGCATATTGCTTCTGTCCTCCTTACATTTCCCTTCACTTACCACTGTCTGCACTCAGAGCCAAGTCATTCGAAAGGAGACCTCAAGAGCCATTCAAACTTGTCTCCTGTTGCAGACACAGCAGGAAAACCAGCACCTGAATGCTGAGGCCCTGCAGAGGGAGCGGTGCTGGCTCAGACATGCCCTCCAGTGGTCCCCACTCCAACCTGGTTCCCATCCCAAACTGGGAGCTCTAAGGCTTGTTCCTTGTAGCTTTACAATAGCAAGGTCAGAGGAGGCTTTGCACAGACTCAGATAGCGCTTGGGACCGGGGGGGTGTCCCTATGTTTATGTGTCCTTTCTGGCCCCCCCAGGATCTGCCATGGGCATCACATCCATGACAGGATAGCACTGGGGAAGAGAATTTCCAGGAGCCACAGGCTGCGTTCGCACAAAACAGACACTGACTCTATGCTGTTTATTCTGTATCCCCTCACACCCCCAACAAAGTCTTACTCTAAACCAATACAGGCCAGAGAAAGCTTCTGCCTCATCTCTGGTACTAGCCCCGAATGGATTTAGGGGACTACTTCCCCCGTGCAGTCAGGTTACACTCAAGATTTATTTCTTCCTGCTTAATCTGACCAACATGAATGCATACCTCCACTGGGAATTTGATACTTTCTTGTGCTAGAACAATCAGCACTCTGTATCAAGCACCCAGATAAACATCTAGCACAGCCAAAGGGATAACATTGTTCCAGGGGAGAGCTGAGACTTCCAGGTTTGAGGCTGGTCCCCGACAGGTTTTCTACAAATTGAACCCTCTTTTGTGGTAGATTGTACTATCCGCTGCCAGTGGTTGGTGACAAGCTATACACATGCACACACACAAAAAAGCACACATGAGAACTCATTAGCTCAAATGCATGCTGGCAGGTACCACCTCAGCCTTGCACAGTGAATTCCCATGGGAAACACAAGGACGCATAGAAGCGTGCTTGAACAAAGTGATGTTAAACCCAGAGCTGGAATTTGCGGGCTTGAGACCACAGGGCAGACCACAAGGTCTTTCCACCTCATGCTCCTACAAGGAGGCACAGCTACAGGTTTTCCAGTGTTGACTGTGTCCATGAAGGGCTGTTGCCTGCACTGATGTACATTTATTCACTTGTGTTATCACATGCTCATAGGGGATTTATTAAGGGCTAAGATTTCCAGGATGCCATGAACTGCATATGTAAAGCAAAGCTCTAGAAGCAGCAGCACAGCCGCTCCACAACTGCGGAAGGGCCTTGCAATGCTAAGGCTTGTAGGGTCATTCTCACCTGCCACAGGAGCTCCTGCGGTGCTGCAGCCTCCTCCAAGGAAATTGCACATTCCCATGTACCCATTGCTCTCAGGGACTGTCTGTGCCACAGGTGTGCAGGACGCTACAGAGAGCCAGATAGGAAGAGTGGGGACTTTCAAATTGGTGGTTAATTCTTAACCCACCCTGCTCCTCCCAAGCTCAACAAGGCACTTATAGGCCCACTGAGCACATGATTAATGACACTAGTGGGGGTCCTACTAGGGCTCCCATATCCTTAAAGCTAGATGTGTCTGAAAGGACAGCAAGACTCATATCATTTACACTAAGGGATTAGGTTCTCTTATATTACACCACCACACATTTCTACTCAATCTTGCAACATATCCCCACCAGCTCCTACAGCCCCACAGCTCCCACTTCTCACAGCACTCTCACAAACCCACAGTCCATCATAAAACTCCACATCCCACTCCCTTTGCATACCCAACAGCCCCACAGCACAGCTTTGCCTGCTGTACAGCTTGCCTACCTCCTCCTCACTCCACTTGCTAGGCAGACACCAAAAGAAAGGGCTGAACCCATCTCTAGATTTCTTTTAGCACCCTTATGCCCTCCCCGCCTCCTCACAGCTGCAGCAGATCCCAGTTGATCTGCTGACCACAGAGACCCAAACAGGCAGCCACTGGTGCTGCTTACTGACTAAGTGCTGCTTGGGAAAGCTTTTAAAGGGACATGCAGTAAATCCACTCTTGGAGTGCGGTTTGCCTATAGATGGTTTTCCTGACAAAATACCAATTTCTCAGCCTTTTAACACTACTGTCCTCTGCAGTAGCCCTGCAACATAGTCTGTTGGCAACAGACCTTGTCATTCACCTGGAGAGGTGGCACACAACCAGCCCCCGCACAGTGCACTTGGAAATTCTGCTTGCCTTGGTTATTTTTACTTTCTGTGCATGAGCATCTGTACATGCACATACAGACAAACCCTTTCAAATGTGCTAGTGGAGGACACTTTAACATCCTATGTTTAGGCAGTTCTGGCAAAGTTTATGTGTAAGTGCTGAGAAGATACAGGAAAGCCTCAGGACACAGTCTGCCCAGAAGCACAGTGCAAACCTTGAACTTGTTTCCCAGATGAGCTCCATTAACCCTTTGCTTAACGTTTCTTAATGAGTTCTCCCCTGTCCCAAGTGATCTGTCACTTGGGTGAGAGATGGATGAGAGTGGTCCCCTTAGTGATCTCTCTCTCTATCCCTTTCCATCACTAGCCTGAAGACCAGCCTGCAGAAGAAGGTGAGCCAGGACTCCATGGATTTGTCAGGGATCCCCCTGACCATGCGGGATGTCCACCGCATGGCCTACTACCTGCAGAACAACGGGGACCACCTCACCTCTGTGGACCTGAGCTTCACTGAGCTGAATGATGACATGGTGCGCCTGCTGCTGCCCTTCCTCTGGGCACTACCCAAGCTCACTCACCTTTCCCTCAATGGCAACCGACTGACGCGGGCGACCATGAAGGAGCTGACTGACACCATGAAGGACATGAACAAGTTCCCTTGTCTGGCCTGGGTTGACCTTGGCAACAATGTGGATGTCTCCTCCATGCCACAGCCGTTGCTTGTGGGCCTGCGCAAGCGTCTCAGCCAGCAGACCACGCTGCCTACCATCTATGAGGCGCTCGACTGCGACTCAGAAATCTCTAGCGGGCATGAGGGCAGCCAGCCAGAGGACGAAGCAGCAGGAAGCACCCCGCCACGTGCTTTCTCTCAGCAGGGCTGTGAGAGATGACTGGCAAACAGGCCAGCACTGGCACACTGAAGCCACCTCAAGGAGAAGTCTTGAGTACAGACGTCAAGCAGAGGGCCAGCTTTACTGACTTCCTTTGGCTCTTTTCTCTTGCCTTCCCTGACATCTCCCCCCAGACTTGTTGTGAGACAAAAGCCTGTCATCCACCCCCAACATGCTCCGCTCCCTCCCCTCGCTGCCAAACCCCTCACCCACATTCCAGAGAGGAACCAGTGACTTACAGTGAACCTGGTCCCCAGGCAGGGTCTCACTGGAAGACGGGAAAAGACCTGTCGGAGTCAAGAATATCCTCCAGCAGCCATTGGGTTGAGGGAAAGGGATGGGGGGGAACCTAAAACAGAAACAGGCTTGTAGGTTATGTCCTTTCTTCCTTTTCCTATGCACCTGGGAAACCTTGGGACCTGCAGCCTTGAGTGTGAAAGGAGGTACCCCAAGAGCCTAGCTGTTGTGGAGCTTAGTTGAAGGGCTCAGAGGCCAGAGCTGGAGCCCAGCAATGTGTCTCCCTCTTGTGTCTGGCTCCTTTTGTTTTGTTTTTTTCCTATTGTGTGTTTTGTATTAATGTCTGAACAAAGGGACTTGGTCAGAGACCATTGGATTGCATAGGCTGGGGCGGACACATGGCTTGGAACTGCAGCATCAGGATATTTGCTGTGTGACCGGGGTGAGAGGGAGGGGAAGGAGGTATGTGTTGGTGGGAGCATGGGGGATGGGATGAGTGGGGATGGGATGAGTTGGGATGGGATGGGAGGAGGGTGGAGGAGAGGAAGGGGGAACAGTCTGGTGGATTAGCAGGATTGGTTTCAAAAGCTGTGCTTTTGTACTAAAATTACAAGTTCCAAGTGAAATTGAGGAAAAGCAGACAGCCAAGTCCATAACTGCATCACTAAAGGAGCAAGCAGTGAATGTGCCAGAGGTGGACACTTCCCAAACTAAAGCGCAAAGCTTTGGCTCCTCGTACTACAGACATGACATGAGCAGCTGCATCACCATTTCCAATGCTGTCCAAAAACCAAACCACTGATGCAATATTTCTAGTGTTTTCCACATTGCTCATGCCCTATGTAAACATAATAAACAGTTCTCTTGGACATGAGTGTGAAGCACTATGGAGTCTGAGTATCTGGGTTGTTCACTAACCGAGCCAGCAGCCTAGACACTGCAAGAATATGGACCGGGAATGCTCACGCAGTGCCTGAGCAGTGCAGGAGCGGATCAGCAGGTACTGTTCACACTGGTGAGCGTGGTTCATTCCTCTAAGGAAAGCGTAACGCGCATGTTCAGTTGTGGTAGGCTGCCGCTCTTTGTGTTGCAAGGTGCTGATACAAATAAAGTGATCAAACTTTAGCTGATATGTCAAAGTCCTCTCAATTATCTGTCCCCACAGGGATTCAGAGAACAGCTAATGTTTTTGAAAAAGTTAAAAGTTAAAGAAATCAGACATAGTAAGCCATATAAATCCTGGCCTTCCTACATTAACAATGGTAACTTTGCCTTCTCTACTGCTTCTCTCTGGGAGTCTCAACACATATAATCAACTCATATAGTAAGCCACACAAATCCACATGAAATAGATACACCTTTCATGCTCCTTGCTGATTTTACAAGACATTGCAAGCAGCAAATTGGTGATATTTATCAAGTGATTTATCCCCTTTGGACCAAGACTGTGAGAGCACCGGATGGTATCAGTGTCTCTGATCAACCACCAAAAGCCCCAAATAAATCCAGTCCCCTGAGGAAGAAAGCTGGGTTTAGAGACACTGTGCTGACTATTATGACCTGACACTGCAAATGCTGGACCCAGTCCCGTTCGCACTCCAGTCACCAGAGCAAGACCTCATAACCTTCATCTTGTTAATGTGCAAACAGAAGTGTAAAGTCTCTGTCCAGCTGATGAAAAAGAACAGAAGATACAATAAGGTAAAGAAAATACAGCTAGGGCCAGGTGCTAGCTACCCCATCCCAGTGGAGATGGAAGAGAAAAGGCCCTGAGACAGCCAGAATATGATGTTTGGCCAGGAAGATGGGGAACAGGGAGTGCAAATGCAGACAGGCTCCAGCACAACCCAAGGTGGGAAGGGAGCATGTGCTCCCTGCACAGCTGTCACCCAAACCCACTTTTTAGCCCCTCTACTGAATCTGGAGAAGTGGAGTAATTTCGATGGAAAAGACTGCATTTGGAGCTTGTTTTGCAAAAGGCAAAACAGAGCTGCTCAAGTGGCCGTTCCCATTACTGGGGGAAGGGCCGTGCTGCTACCAGAGGTCGTCACCTGCCTCTCTTCTCAAAACTTGTTTTTCCCTTCTCAGTGTGGTATCTGTTTCCTCCCCGCTGTGGAAGAGATGGTATTAATTTTTTCTTTTTCGTCTTTTCCTTCCAAAATACCTTTCAGCAAAAATGAAAAGTATTTCAAATGTCAGCAAGATCTACTTAAACTCTTGCAGTCTAAGCAGAGCAATACTCTGTGCCAGGAAGAAAACTCAGGCACGAAGCATTTAAATGAAGGCTTGGAGCCGCCTGGTGAGTCAGTGGCATAGCTAGAAAGAGGGAGCCGGGGCGCTGAGCATTCGGTCTTTGGCTCTGAACACTGTCTCCATAAGGCTCTGCATCAAGGCATCTTCACAGCTTTTCCATAACCATGGCACTTCCCCAAAATGAGGCAAGCCCCCAGCATGCAGCCCACCACTGATGCAGCTCCTCCCTGCAGAGTCCCTGGCCCAGGCCCAGGGAGGATCTGTGCAGCCTGTTTCCAGCTCTGCTGAAAGTCATGGTTTTGGTGTGAGCTGTGCTAATCAGGAGGATGGAGATGAGACATTCAACCCCTTACAAGCGAATTCTGTGCTAATCACTGGAGATGCCTGGCTGCTAGTTGGCAGCTCCAGGAGCTGGAGATAAAGCATGGCTTGAAACAGGCTGGTTCAGCTGAGCAGCTGTGGGATCCGTGTTTATTCCTCCATACGCACTTCGTTGCTTTGCCATAGAAACCTCCCCATGGAGAACTAGTTGTGAATAAATACACGCAAATGCAAATTATGAGGTCCTGGCCTAGGAAACCGCCACAGCTTCTTGGATGAACTCCGATGGGCTGCCACTTAGCTGTGGAGAAACTATCACAGCACACCCAGCCGTTCCCTGCCATCTCCTGACTGCACTGACGAGTGAAGGACTCTCCGGGAGCACAGTGGTGTGCACCCAGCTCTAGAGCTGTCAAGTGCCCCCGTGCCCCCCTACAGATGAGATGCCTGCTCGAGGAGCAGGCCTGGCGGCTCCAAATCCAGAGGAACCTATTTTCATAAAAGCCGAATTCACAAACCAGAGAGGATGACACAACCCAAATGAGCCCTTCCTTGCACTGAATGAGAAAGCTCAGGCTCTCAAAGAGGATTAAGGGGATGAGCTGCTAATTCAAGTCTCCTCACCGATAACCATAGGGACCAGTTTTGTTATGGTCCTAAATCAGGGGATGCCTGCCCTGCAGTGAGCCTCTGTCTCCTGCTAGATAACGCAGCAGGAGAGATGGATCCTTGTCACACCAAATACTCTCCTCAGTACTGAACTTGCTGGTGCAGGGCTGTAACCTCAGCTACTTAAAGCTGCGCACACACCTCAGTATCAAGATTCATACACCAGGCTAATTCCATCATATGCAGTTTCCCAGCCTCTTCCCTCCCTCTCCGTGCAGGATGCAGATGGTCAGCCAGCCATGGGACCTATGTCATGTAGCAGAGAGGAAGCTGCAGCTGCACAGGGTAGTATCACAGCCCCTTCCCCACCCCTGACCTCCCACCAGGTTATCAGTCTCACAATAGATCTCAAAGTGAGATATTTAATCACACCTTTCAAAAATAGTCTTCTGGAAGGAGAGGTCATCGGTTGCAAAGCTGTGCCACACCTCCCCACCATCTTATTTTTCCCAGGCTTTATAAAATAGCCCCCAGAAAATCCTCCTCCTCCTGGGGTTGCTTGGTCCCTTTTCAGATCTACACCCATGTAGTGGCAGGGCATGAGACAGTGAGCTCCCATCTCCACCAAGCCGTGCCGACAGCAGTTTCCTCCCTGGTACCACTCACAGCAGGCAGGCAGTTTCCTACCCAGCACAGCACAACCTCTTGCATGCTCCCCGGGCCACCTGCAGCGTCTCACTTGAAAATGCTGGTGAGCACTGTCAGCTGGGGCTCTGTGTGGGGTCAGGCAGGCAGCAGAGCTCTAGCAGAGCCAGCGCGCAAAGCCCAGCCACAGGGAGGGGCACGCACATGGGGATGCTGAGCAGCACCACAGGTAATGAGGCCATTTCTGCCAGATAGCAGAGGGAAGAAGGAACAGGCCAGACCTTTTCAGTTACTCAAACAGAAATCTGCTTGTTCCCTCCCCACCTAACTGAACAACCCCTTCCTCACTCCTCCATCCTTTATTTTACCTCAGCCTCTGACCACAAAATCCAGGGTAATCATCTTAGCACGCTCCAGGTAGCAATATGCTTAGCACAGAGGCCACCACAAGCCTCCCTCATTCCTGTGACTCTGTCTAAATAACTGGTAATCGTTTTGTTGAGGTAAGGATGCAAAAAGCAGCTGGAAGCACAGGCTTGTCTGATCTATTTTTATTTTACACACTTCAAAACCTGTCAAAGCCTTTCTCTTCTGCACTGCCAAGGCTCTTTTTTCAAATTATAACTCATTCATCATCCCAAGCACTTGGAAGATAAAGGAGTTTGCACTGTTTGGGGCAGGCTGAGAGGCTACTTAGTGGACAGCTGGCTAACAAAGATGCCAAAATAGAAGTAATTTCATCTGAAGAAAGCAAACGAGAGAGGATTAAACATTCACCCGTAGAGATCACCGTCCACCACCAGATCGCATTTGTTTCACAGCTCAGAAGACGCAATGGTGTGTCTCAATATGAACTCTTACCACTACACTATCTTGACAGCGCAGCAGGTATAACTGCCTTCGAGGGCAGCTGGCAGAAAGCCCAGACACCCCAGCTCCAAGCAGTTGGGGACCATTATCAATGGACAAGAGAATCTGTTTTGCAGTTTACTGGCATCAAACAAGTGCTCTTGAAATAGATGTAATAGCTGGTTTAAGGCTGCCAAGAGGTAGTTCACAAAACAAA